TTTTATCGAAATGCCTGATAATATCCTGAACGTTTCGAGAGTACTGGCAAATGGAGCTTTGACATCAATCTTCAGCACTCAGTTCCTGGAACTTCAGTTTCAGAAACTGTCAGCCTTAAGTTTTTTTATCTTCGTTCAGTAGGGATAGTATGTAATTAGAATGTAATTCTGATATAAAAAAATCCTGTGCCATAACAACCGCAGGATTTCTCGTTTAATTAATCATTTAATTTAGAGCAACCGCTTTATAGAGGTTAGGTGTGCCGCAGGAGGGTTTGCTGATCTCAAGATAGATCTACGGCTGATTTTACGGATCTTGAGCATAGGATGTTAGCCTTACCCATTGTGCTACCTTGCTCGCAATCTGTGTTTATTCATCTTATAATAAATTATTAGTTGTACATTCAGGAATAATAATATTTTTACCACAGTCGGATCTGTGAGTAAGGTTTTCGGATTGCCCCTTCCAAAAATGGAAAAATTATTTCTTTTTCATAGGCCCATATTTATTACTGTGAGTATTCTTAGCTAAATATTTAACACTGGCACTTTTTGTAGGGATTCTACCAGAGTCCATTTTCTCTATATATCTCCTAAATGAACTTAAGATAACTCCTGGAACTGCTTATTTGTTCTAATTCGCCAGGCATCTCCCGCTTTCACTGCACCGAATATTCGATGAAGAACCTTTCTTTTCCAGACTTTCGAAACTCTCTTATTTTTTTCTGCTAAGATCCATGATTCGCTTTCATAGGTGACAGTCGGACTTACTGTTATGTTATAGATTAAGATATTTGCCTTTCTTGAGAATTTCTTGAACTTAAAGGTCTTCTGCAAACCCCATAGGTAGCGATTCTGGTCAAATTATCGGTGGTTATCAAGCTACCGAGATAGTTGATTTTTAGACAACATTGTATTTTATACTCCAGTCATACGCCTATCATAATTTGGAAATTCATAATATTTTTATTTATTAATATTTTTATTATTAACAGATTTTTAGAGAAAATATGCTTATTGATATTGAAGTAATTTAATTAAATTTTAATACATTGCATTTCTTAATTTAATGGGAGAATTAAGGGTTTTAGGAAGGTGGAATTGGGAAGAGAGAGGTAGTTAGGAAAGGAAGCCAGGGACAATAACACCTACTCCTCCTCTTTAAAAATTCATCCTAAATGATGGCGCAGTTGGACTGAGCTCTCTTCTGTCCTCTCCTACCTTATTTATTTTTTCTCTAAACTTGATGTGTTTTAATTTTTAAAACGATTTTTCTCTTCCAATCATCTAAGAATACCAAATATTTAAGGCATAAAAATAAAGTCATAATTTAGAATAATTTACAGTTGAAATTGTTTATGGATTTGTAAGAAATCTTTCAGGTGTGAATATGAAAATATAAAAATGAATATATTCCAATTGGTTTAGAATATTTACTATGTCAACTTTTTTCGATTTTATTTAGTAATACACTGACAGGCAAAAAATTACACCAACTTGATTTTTTCATGTTTCCATTTAAAAATATTTCACCCACTTGTGAAAAAAGTAGATTTGTAGATAAAACTTAGTATTTATGGAATTTTATAATCTTTTTTACCTTTAATAATCAAAATGTGAATGGGTAAGAAAAATTAGAGAAGAAAAATGAAAAACGAACCATTGTTATTCTAAAAGAAATTAATTACATCATCGTTTAGTATAGAAAGACGCATCGGCATACTTTCCACCAGTCGGGAAATGTCCCTTTGCTGGACGATAGCCCATTCCTCCCGAAGATCACTTTCAAGGTCCTGCAGTGTATCGAGAGTGTTGCACGCGCTCTTATTCGTCTTCCGTGGTTATCCCATAAATGCTCAATGGGGTTCAAATCTGGAGAACGTGCTGGCCAGGCTAAAACCTCAATATTGTTCTATTGAAGGAACGTCTGCACTATGCGGGCGACATGTGGGCGTGCATTATCGTGCATTAGAATAGAACGATCGCCGATTTCGTTGAGGATAGGCAACACATGAGGTTACAAAATCTCATCTACATAGCGAATGGCCGTCAAAGACCCTCCACGAACAACAACCAATTCTGTGCGGCGCTCCATTGAAATCCCAGCCCACACCATTAAGGAACCACGTTGGAAAGTTGAACTCTGGGAAAGATTACAGGCTGCATATCTTTCGTTTCTTCTTCTCCACACCCTTTCACGCCCTTCTGGAGATCGAAGAGCGAATCTTGACTCATCTGTAAATAGTACAGCACTCCATTCGTCCCTAGTCCATTGGCTGTGTTCTCGAGCAAAAGCCAGCCGTGTTACTCTGTGAGTTCTGGTAAACTCTGGTCCTCTTACTGGACGAAAAGCCATTAATCCATACTCATTTAATCTTCTTCGAGCTGATGAATCGCTTGAACAACGGTAAGGGGCCGGTTTCCTAAAATTCTTTAAGTCAAAAACCGGTCATCCCGTGGTTCTGTTACCCTAGGCCGTCTAGAACCGGGCCTTGTATTGTAAGAACCAGTTTCCCGAAAACGCATGACGGCGTCTCGTAAAGTTTCATATGGAACTCCGATGCATACCTAATGGAACGTCCATCATCAATAAGCGCCACACCATATGCAACATCCTCAGCACTAAGAGGCATTTTTAAACTTAATATTGAAAAAATTAAAAGCCGGAGACTAAGAAATGTGCTGCAAGAAACGGCACTGAACTAATGATACTGAATAAACATTTTGATTCCATAGAAAGTAAGCATTGGAATCTAGAATCATTTCATTGAATTAAGGATTAAGGGTAACTGTCCTCTATATTAACATTCCTAATTGAAAACAAACAAAAAGATTACCTGTTTATTCATTAAAAACAATAGACCGATCCAAAGCAGAAATATTTTTAGATGAAAACATGAAAAAATCAAGTGGGTGGAATTTTTTGCCTGTCAGTGTATAAACATTAATTAATTCGAATACATATTTTACAATTTTTTTCGCGCAATATACTTGTAAATTTATATTTTGAAGTTCAGAAAAAAGTGAGAGTGATCAATATTCGCCAAAACTGATTCAAATAGTTATTTTTTAATGATTGAAAAAAAATCTTGATTGGATTTTATGAAGGACCAAAGAGGGGATAAATCCTCTTGAGAACTAGCAAATGTTTGCCGTAAACTCTATCTCAACCGAGGAGGGTAACTACCTTAAATCAAACACTGTATGAGGCGAGGTTTGGGTAATTTGCTATCAACTCATCAAATGAGCAGTTATTAACCTTCTCATTACTCCTACTTTACTGCATATAACTTAGGTTTCCCATTTATCCGTTTACTTTTGTACCTTGTGTGGGTGTGAATATATAATGTCGTAAAAATGGTATTTACCAATTGAAATCTTCTACCTTTCTTACTATTAACAAGTTTCCGAACAAAACTCTTTTTAAGCTATTTAAAGGTGTATTTTATCCTGTACGTAATGACTAAAAAATGTTCTTTATTATCCGTGTCAATCAGGGAACATGGCGGAAGAATAGACAGAACGAGTAGCTTGAGATGGTTTTGGACTGAAAAGTGAAATTTAGTGTATTTGATGTGGATGTATGATTTTACTGTTGAAAGCTTAAAGTCGTTATATATAATGTGATTTAAAAAATACTACGGAGCGTTAACAAGGTTTGGAAGAATTTTAGATTGTTTTTTTTATGTGTTTGATTTGTTGAAATCCAAAATTCTGTTCCCTATGTCCAAATTGGTCTCGGTATAGTGTTTAAATCAGTCACTTATTTTATTAAGGATCTGTTGTTCAAAAGATATGGCTATCTATTATATATTCTTGTGTCACGCACGTGTCAAGGAAAAAACAAATATTCCTAAAAGCATTACTGGTATAGTCCCTGTAATTTCCGTTTTTTTTTTTTTTTTTTTTTTTTTTTTTTTTTTTTGCTTTAAACTGGCCTTCAAGGACCATAGGCGCTGACTATCGATTTTGATTGGATACAACGATACAACAGGGACGATGGATACAAAAAAAAAAAAAAAAATGGCAGGAGATTATATCATGTATTAAAATTCTACATAATTATTGAGAAATAATCAAATATAATATCAAATAATGAAAAATGAATTTATTTATATTAAAAACAAAAATATTTTTAATTTATTGGTTTGTACAACCTCAAAATACTCCGCTTCGAGAGTGTGATTAGTTACTTAAAAATCATAAAAAACGTTCTCTATTAAATATATATATTTTTTTAACTTTACCGCAAAAAATGTGATAAGAATATTTCGTAAAAATTGAGGAGTACACACGAAGGGTATATTATCTTTGAATATAAATTTAGATAACAATAACATTTATGTCGTGTTAAAATATCTACGTACCTACTTCTAGGTCCTAGCATTGCCAGTTAGTCGATTTTTCTTATTATATTTCAGTTTAAAAATTTCATTAATTCGTTTAGCTTTTTATTATTTTTTTTTCAAATTCAATTTCTGGGAGTGGGAGGGAGGGCGAAACGGTATTCTTGCCCCCTCAACATTTTTATTAAGGGGGTGATTGCCCTCCTTGCCTCTCCCCTCCGTCACGAAATCTGCGCCTATGTTAAGGACCACTTTACATCATTTCGTGTATTTTCCAGTTTTTGTTCTTCTAGAGTAATTATCGTTGTATATATATACAGATACATACACACACACACACACACACACACACACACACACACACACACACACATATATATATATAGGTGTAAAAAAAAAACTTCCTTCACCCCTTAAAAAAAAATTAATTATAAATCTGCATGGTAAACATTTTTTGATGTTTGTAAAAATATTATTTTTATTCCTTTCTCTAGTACGGAGCCCTGTTGGATACCTGACCCCTGGCTGACCACGGTCTGCCCAATCTGTCTCGGCCTGTTGAATGCCCTGCAACAATCGCCCTCCTCGCTGCCCCTACCTCTTTGGGGAATTAATGAATTCCCTTCTTTGAGGTTAAAAGTTTAGAGCGGGCCATTATCGAACCTGCAATAAAGGCTGAAAGCCGTTCCTGAAATTGAGCAATAAACCTGCGAGCTGCTTCGGTTCCATTCCTTCTATCTCCTCTATATTGGATACTGGGCATTCTTCAACGTCGCAGGTATTCTCCGCTGTCTGGATATTTCTTGGGCCGTATCTGTCTGCACTACTAATAGTATATATTTATTGTTTTTATCTTTTTTTTTTTTTGAGGGAGCTACCCATTCAAAACACCCGATTTTAGATGAAAATAATAACGTATATGTGATAAAGTAAATGGTTATACAAAGATTTAAATACAAATCAGGTGCAGAGTGCTCATCAGACCAAATTTACTTACCACCCATCTTGTAGCAGAATGAGTTATTTTCAGAAAAAGGGTAGTGAACATAAAAATTATATTCCGTAAAAAAATTTAAACTAATTAATTACTATATGTTTTTCACAGTCCTCTAATTAGTATTATTTATGTTTTTTGTCACTAATCATTTCCTTTTACGACTATAGAGTTTAATTATTTATTTAATTACAATAAATAATCAAGTACTACAAAATATTTTTACTCCGTAATGAGTGCCAGTGATAAAGTAGGCCGCTATATTTATTTATATTTCATTGTGGGTATTATTTGTATAAGGATTGATATATATATATATATATATACATATATATATATATATATATATATATATATATATATATATATATATATATATATATATATACAAGTATTAATTTTTATTTTGCTGTAATCTATAAAAAATTAAAGTATGCTAGTATTTGTGAAAAATGTAAATGTATAATATAATATTATCGAAGCCCATGTTATATTAAGCACGTGTTACATTACGAAGCCTTTTCTGAACTTTCAGCCAAACTCGGGAACTCTTTGCTAGAGGTGGTTTTAAGAGTACTTAATAATGTCAAGGTAGGTATGCAATGTCTTTTCCCTCATTTTTTGTAATAATACTGATGGACCTAAAAATCTTTAATAATAAACAACGATGTCGCAACATCCATGGCGATTGTAATAATTCCAAAGGATGGGATCGCCCAGGTGTTAAAGAAATGGGATATTTTCCAGTTGCGAGCCGGACTCGAAGGGCAATTGTGATGGAGACTGGCCACAATGACAGGAGCAAGATATTGTGGCAGGAATGAAAGAAAACAGGAACGTATATCTTAGCCCGGGCCCTTGAGCGATCGTCTCACGCTGTGAGGGAATGGGTTCTTATTTATGGTCCACTGTTAGCAGAGAAAATATATCCCTGATTCTTCTCTGCCCAGGCAAACAGTTCATTTCATCGGGGTTTGCCACGCTACGCAATATTATAGGAATATATTAGTATCTCTGCTCCATAATATATTGTATGTTTTTGGAAACAAATTAGGGGCTGTTTTTTATCATGATAAGGAATAGGAAATTTAAAAAATCCAAATATTTTCAGATATAAGTGGCTTCCAACACAATGGCGGAATATTCATATTCTTGTTTTAAATTTTAATAGTAAACCCGAGTAAGAACTCTTACATTAGATAGCTATGTTTTTCTTTAATAATTTCGATGAATAAGTGACATCAGTAAAACATATTTATTCGTATATAAAATATAATTATTTGATCATGTAAAACGTCTTTTATCAAGTTTCCGGATAACAGATGTGTTAAACAAACGTTAGCCTGCTCGGCCACCCCGCACTCAAGCTGTTAAGCTTGCTCCTCTGGAAAATATCCCTCGAGTTTAATAGTTAACGCAAAACTTAATAGACTCATTAATTAACAAAACTTAATAGTTGGCTAGATTACATAGCTTAATAACTACAATAACCTTCACCAAAGACTAACTTACAACACAAATCCTCTGACAGATAACCTTAAAAGCACTAGAAATCGTAACTTACAACGAGAAACAAAAAGACTAACTTACAACACAAATCCTCTGACAGAAAACCTTAAAAGCAGTAGAAACCCGTATAGCCCACCTCGACGATTACGTAGGCGGTGGCCTAGAAATCTGCTGAACTGAACTATTTCCTGGATTGTGATTGGACACTGTGAAGTTCGCAGATAGCAAATTTAATTTTGATGTCCAATTTTATGTTATGTATTAATAATAAATAATGAATATTTAGCAATACTTTTCACCCGATCTGTTTAGGAAGGGTTTGTTAAACAAAGTAGTTCGGTGGCGAAGAGAGTAGAAGTCAAAAGGACGAGATCAGGTGGGTAGTTACGAATTACAGGCTCTGTAGTTTGTAAGATGGGTACTGAGTTAGGATTACCTAATATAGGTAAGATGCAAGGAAATACTGACGTCTGTGAGATGTTTAGAGCTACTTCAGCTCGACATAACACTGGATTATTTACGTATCTCTTATGACCCCAAAAGCAAATCTAACTAAGTAATTGATAAGTCTTACTTCAAGTTCGCCAGCAGTCCATCGTATACCAGACTGCCGAGGTCAAAGAGGGACAAAACTAAAGACACGAGGGACGAAACTATGAGTTGTCGGATCTTACGTGGGAGGAGGTAAAGCAGGTGATTGAATTGTTTGTGGGTTGATATAGTCCGACGGGAGATTCGGGAGATATATTGTTTATATGAAAGGGCTTAGTCAAAGGTGACTCCAAGGTTCTTAACCTAGTTATGGAATGAGATAGGAGTGTTGTTCTGGGTAAGGTACAGCTGTTCTAGAAAGAATTTAAGGAGGTTATGGAATTCAGTCAGAATTGATTTGGTATTCTCGGCATTCAGGGTTAGCTTATTGTGAGAGTCTCAAGCTGTTATTCCATTGATGAATAAAGGGTTGGAATGCTAAAGGATGTCCAATATTCTGAAGATGTCTTCAAAGCACACATAGTAGAATGCACATTGTAAGCTGTACAATATTGTATTATTTTACATATTATGATGAATCATAATGTCAATATCCAAAGGTTCTTAGACTAATATTAATGTACTAGCTGGCCCGTGCTAATAATTCGCATAAAATATTAGTCAGAAAACTGATAAAAAAGTATGCTAGTATGTTAATGCAATGTATTATGAGTTGGAAGAATTCATTTTTCTTTTCTTGTTCGAATCAAAATAGTTAATTCATAAAAATAAAACAAAATATTTGTAAAATTTACTGTAGTCTATATCTTTGCTCATAATGGTCTGATTTAGATAATTTTTTTTATTTTGTAGGAAAACTTTTAGTCTTAATTATTCATGGAGTTAATCCACCATAAATTGCATACTTTTTCTGTTAAGTTCCAAATTAAGTTTGCTTGTTTTTCTGATATGTTGAGGGTGGTTTTTAGACCATCTTTAAAATGATGGTTCGATAATTGGAACTAAAGAAGATATGGCGAAATAAAACACCAGTAAGAAAAAATGTATAGTATATATTGTATTTATTTATGAAATTGTTATATAGTTGTGTTTTTTTAAATAAATAAAACAATTTCATGCCATCTTCGTGTTGTTCAAAATTCCACTTCACTCCAATGTTCGTTATAGGAACAACGCTCGGTCTAGATGTGCATCACCGTGATATTTGCCACCCAGGGAAGAAACTCAAGGATGCCCCCTTTGTCAATAGGTTTTCATATTTTAGCCTTGAGTATCCGATTTGTAGTTTTGCTAGGCTGATCTTTTCAACTGCAGGTGCACTCGATTTGTAACTGCAGACGGCTGGAAATTGAAATTTTTCAAAGCAATCAGAATCCATGGCAACAGTGGCATCAGTATTTCCTATCACAGGTATAAGGTTGAGCTCAAACGATTTATTTATTTATTTATTTTAAATGATATTTACAACTGTATACAAAAAAATACATCTAGTAAATTTGCACATTGGTATAAAGACATGGAACACATGTTGAGAAACTACCCATTGGTAGCACTCTATTGCTCAAACGAAAACTGAAAAATTACATTTAAGAGCTTTAAAATGCTCTTAATCTTAAAAATTGTCAGAGTTATCCTTTACGAAACAAAAATCAGAGATTAGGAAAATAGGTTTCGAAAACGGTTCGTGTAAAAATGATAATTAATATTTTGTAAAACTTCTTTGAAAACAATATTGGAAGAAATAATACATAAATTACATACAGTAGGCTGTATGTTTGTAAATAATAGTCTGATTCTCATGTTTTTTTTTTCGTTTTTGTAGGAAATTATGCAAATTTTCAAATAATAATGGGTCTAATCCAGAAAAAGTGTATACTTTTTATGAAAAAATGTATGATGAACAGCTGCGTAAGATTTGTGATCGGGGCCCCAAGATACTCCCACGTCTCTCACCACTACGCTGAGTTAAAGTGGCTTTTCCCATCCTTCCGAAGACATTATTTTCTAGGTACGTTCCTCTACCAAATCATCAACAACTATCGTCCTTCATACCCTTACAACCTTCTCCAGTTCAAATCCTCAATCCATTCCCTGTCCACAAGATCTCGACCTTCTAACCTTTACATGCTTTCTCACAGATCTGCCTCATTCCAAAACTCCTTTATTGCTCGCTCTGTCAATTTCTGGAATTCCCTCCCTATCAAAATTCGACATTCCCCCTCCATATCCACATTCAAAACTCTCCTATTCCAATTCCTATTCCGACAGTCAGATAGTTGCTAACCATTCGACAACATACATTTAATTCATGCCATTAATTGTCAATCACCAATGCTATTCTTTGCTAGAGATATTAATTTTCTTATAGGCACGGGCGGATCTACGGGGGGAGAGGGTTTTCGAGCTGAAGTGCCCTCCAAAATGGTAAAATATAACCACGTTTAATTGAAAAATTATCTCTTACATTATTATTGTTCATGCAATTACATTTAAAAGTACTTAAGGAATCACTTAAACACCATTTCATACAGATAGTTAGTTTCTTTTTTTTTCTAAAGTAATTATCATAATTTTTATGAAAAAAAAGCTTTCGGGCTGAAGCTCCTCCCTCCCCCCAAAAAGTAAATCCTAGATCCGCTAGTGCTTATAGGGTAAAGATTTTCCTACTCTTGATGTCACTGAACACATCTATTGGTAGTTTATAACTATTATCTTTTATACAGCACTAAATTCTTGCCTATTGTTACTTTAAGAAATTATGATAATGTATTAATACATTCATCAACATTTCAATATTTTTAAAAAAATAAATAATTAATATTTATATATTAAACAGGCACTTTATATTGTTAGGTTCAGCTTTCTGTTTTCTCAACAGAAACACAAAGCTTATTTTAATGGAGAATTTAATATATTTTTATTTTTTTATTCTTTATTGTTTTCTTAAAAGTGTATACTGGTCTATCAGTGCAAATAGCTTTAAGTGTCTTGTCACAGTGTTAATTGTTTTGCATATAGACTATTTACCTTATATTTCTTTTTTTACTATTGATTTTATTTTTGCCAGATGTAATCTTTTAATTTTGTTATTCTCAAGGGACTGTGTCCCAGAATAAAGTTATTTTCTATCTATCTAGCTATCTAATTTTTAAGTAATTGGCAAATAAATTTTCTTTTCATTCATAACTTTTTTACCTGAAATTTCGGCTGGACGTTACTATGATCCGTCACTGCTGCATAGCTTCTGAGTACCATAAAAGGGACCGTTTCGGCAAAGAGTGTCTTATCATAACTATTATAATATAACTATTATTATAACTATTATATTATAAGATTAGTACAAAAGACTCACATACTTGACTATAATAAGGCCTATTTGGACTTACGGAGTTGAGCTATGGGACTCTACTGAACCATCGAATTCCTATCGTATCCAATCGTTACAATCCAAAATCCTTCGTAAAATCCTCAATTCTCCCTACTTTGTTACAAATAAAACCATCCGTAATGACCTTAATGTTTCTTTTGTTTCAGATCTAGCCAAATCCAGATACCTATCCTTCCATAGTAAACTTCAGAATCATCCCAACCATCTCGTTTCTAACCTTGCTTCCTCTTCGATTCCTGATAACCCTCCTAGGCGTCTGAAAAGAAGATGGCCTCGTGATCTCCTAATGTAGGCATATCATTAGAGTGTTACCATTGGGTAGTTACTCAGAAAATGTTTTCATGTCATTAAATCCATTATGTTCAAATTTACTAGATGTATTTATTTAATACAGTTGTAAATATCATTAAGAAATAATAATAAAAAAAAAAGATTAGTAGTACAGTGAACAGTTTTCATATGTTTCATGATCAGAAGGGCCAATTAACATTGTTAATGCGTACAAATGAAATGACCAATAGACGCAGCTAATATACAGCAATATGGACATATAATTATGGCAGACATTGCGTAACGCAATATAACACGGCGAATGAGAGGCATTAGAGCTGGGAGCAGGTGCGGCTGCCACGGTCGGCTGAGCTTCCTGTCGCCGGAGGAAGTACACCATGGCAGTGTGTTGTTCGCTCGCCTCGCCTGTGCTGTGTTGTTGAGTTAACTTAGTGCAGTAATATAGTGCTTCGTATTCAGGATATCGCTATCAGGATTAACCAGGTAGGAAGGAATTATCGTTTAAAATACTGTTAAAAGTATAATTGCTTCGTTTAGAGTACAGTTAACGCATTGAGAAATCGGAAGGAGTCATCTATTTGTGAATTAATGAATGAATGAAAAAAATCTACATTTTGTAATATATTCAACTAGTTGGCCCGTGCGAATAATTCGCAGAAAATTTTGTTCAGTGAAAAAATAGCAAAACAATATGGAAATGAGTAGTTCTTATGTATTATGTATGGAAGGAATTAATTTTTTTTTCCTTATGATGTTTTTGCCTACCGTTAACTAAAACATTCATAACTCCTCAGAATTTTATCCTGATTCAATGTTTCCACAACCGTTAGAAAAGTGAATTATCGCTCTTCAAGGCCGTTTAACTAACCTTTTGATTTAACACGTCTATAAAGAGTAAATAAATAAAAACTCCTATTGAGTTATTCGCAAATAAAGTTTCTTTTCTTCCATAACTTTTTTTCCAGAAATTTCGGGGAGGATAGGACTATTTTTCGCATGTGAAGGAGCATTTTCAAAATGAGTGATCAATTATTAGATTTGATGAAGAATGGACGAAGTTATGGGGTACCGACAAAAAGAAAACATCTTTTAGAAATAATATTTGGGATTACAGTAAGTCTGGGCTCCATAAAAAAAAATTAGCCCGTGGTACAGACTCATTTTTGTCAAATTATTGACATCTGCCTGAAATTTCGTAAACAGTTTCATCTCATCATAAACTACAACTATTTTATTTATGTAAACTCTCAAAATTGGAGCGTTTTCAATCTGGATGGGGTACAAACTTCATCTATTTAATTAGGTACTAAAAAATCGTAAATATTCATTTGTTTTCTACTTAGACCGTAAGATAATTTGATCACAAAATCGAGAAAAAAGGCGACCTTCTAAAATATTGAGCCGTTTGGCGTGAACAACACCCCCAAATTATCAAAATAACGTGGTTATATATAGGACAAACGGCACAAATTTTTATAGGCCACCCTTTTTTTATCGATTTTGTGATCAAATTATCTTACGATCAAAGTAGAAAGCAAATGGGTATTTACGAGTTTTTAGTACATTATTAAATAGAAAAAGTTTGCTTCCCTCCAGTTTGAGAACGCCCCAATTCTAAGAGTATTCGCAAATGAAATAGTTGTAGGTGACGATGAGATGAAACTGTTTACGAAGTTTCAGACGGATGTTAATAATTCGATAAAAAGGGGTCTGAACGACGGATTAATATGGTTAGAACCTTGCGATATTTTCATTTTTTATACACATAGTTGATGGAAAATACTAGAGCAATATGTAAAATAAGAGAAAAATGTTAGGTTTGTCATTCGTATGCTTGTGGTTCACCCACTATTTATTCCAAGTTGATTTAACTTTGTTGTGGTTTCACTAAAAGTAGAATCAAATATGTTATTGTAAGATATCGCTTCTTAAATATTTAAAAATTCAAACATAATATCTCAATAAACTTATGATTTTTTAAAAAAAGGAGTAATTACAACTAGGATTTGAAAACGCCCCAATTCTAAGAGTTTTCGCAAATGAAATAGTTGTAGGTGACGATGAGATGAAACTGTTTACAAAGTTTCAGACGGATGTTAGTAATTCGATAAAAAGGGGTCTGTACCACGTGCTAATTATTACATTAAGAAGAATCAGTAATTAAATATTTCACAAATATTGAAGTATATTGCTTAAATATTCTTTTTTCATAAAAAAAGAAATGATAAATATATAAATTATGATGAAAAAAAGAGAAGACAGCTGTGTAACAATATAAATAAAAATTATTGATTTTCAAAATATTAATAAAAAATTTAAATAAATATACAACGAATTTAATAAATAGCAATAATATATTCCTATTACAGATATTATATACCGATAATACAATATACGATATACCGTATACAATACAATATAGCAAAATACAAAGATACATAATATGATTAGCTTCTTAGTCGAAGAATACAAAATGTCTGGTGGTAAACATTAACATTAATATTGTTGGCATTTAATCGTTGATACATAATAAATTATGTGATTTTAAGATTTTCCACTGTAAAATAAAGTATATTATTTAACCAGATTATCTATAGTTAATAAATTACCCAGGATTGAATTTCTGTCTTCACTAATATATTTCTCTATGTAATGGTCTCTCAATTCTTTATACATCTATGTCGTAAATTCTATACTAAGTGGATGCGGTAATATAGATTTCACTTCTAAAGCCACTAGATTATTCCTGCTTTTTGAAAGGCTATTACTCCTTTGTTCTGGTCTACCACAGGTGCCCTATATTTTACCACAATGTTATGAATGTCACTAATGGTAATGAAAATAAGCTTTGCTTTCCTAGCAATGTAGTTTATACCTATATTTAGAAATGTTATTATCAAATATACTAAAAGGTTGGATTTGGTGCAAGCAAACCTATTATCAAGTTTTGTTAAGATTATTTCCATTATATCATTAATTAATTAGGAATATCATTAAAAAGATAACTCATGATTTGTGGTAACAATGATTTATTTTATTTATTTCTTGCTGGGATACTACGGTTCATTATGGAAAATAATAAAAAAAAGCTGTACCATTACACACCCATAAAAGGTCTTCGGTTCAGTACTATGCGAGGAAGTACAGTTTCTAGACCAACAGTGGCCTAAAAAAATGGCTTGATAACTGGCTCGCCAAAAAAAAGCAACATTTTTTCTGATATGGCATTAATTAAATTCTAGAGATATGAAAAAATGTATACTTAGCGATAGCTAATATTTTTAATGCTTTTGTAATTAATGCTTATTTACTGTTCGAAAATTCCAGTTTCATATTTACATACGGTAATATAATAATAATATACATATTATGGTAAATATAATATCAAGCATTATACATTTCAGGAATATTCTTGAAAACAATCAAGTAGATTTTTCCACGTTACGTGCTTAGTTTCTTTAATAATTTATTATTGTTTACTTAAATTGTATTACTAAGACTGAATAAATAAATCCACAAAGAGAAAATTCAATTAAAGAAAAAGTTTCTGTTAGATTGAAGTATTTTTTTTTCTTATTTTTTGCAATAAAGTTATGATTCAATTAAAAAAAAAGACTTAAAAATATATATAATTATTTATTTTTATTTTTTGACTGATCACCCCAACCATCCTTCTCTTCAATTATTCACTACAGTCAACCATCAACCCACAATTAAAAAAAACTCCTCTGCTGCCACTGAGTGGTACTCTATAAACAAGTTCCTAAATTGTTCGATGACATCAGATCTGTCTCATCTGCCATCGATAAGTTCAGCGCTGAGTTTAGGAACGTACACTGTATCTATGTAGCAAACCATTACATGCAGGCTTAAACACCTTCTACGACTCCGTTCAAACATGATACTAACGATTCACGAGTAATTCAGACGACAGTAACTGTAAACTTCAACAGAAAATAGAGACGATAAAATGGGAGAACACACTCAAAGTTGACTGAATAGGAGCTCGTTAAGGGATAATGATGTTATTTAAACTTCAAGATAGAAATAGCTAGGAGTTGGCATTACCGTACCAGGGGGAGGGAGTGGGGGCAAGTATACCCTGATCGTGAATTTAGTATAAGACATAATAAAATTGTCTAATCAGTTATTTATGAAGCTACTAAATCATGAAAATTAAGAAAATTTATTAATCGGAATCGCCTATATGCTATTAAATTATGGTTGTCAGCCTTACAAAAATATATTTGTTTAATGAAATAAGATATAATTATGGCAAACCGCAGGGGTATGTTGGGACGTGCCAAAAAAATACTCCCAGTTAAGAAGGTAAAAATAATAGTAAATTAAATATATACATTTAATTTTGCAAGATTCGCTGTCGTCCCGCTCTCCCCTCCCTAAAAAAGAAACAATATATAATTCAAATCCTAGTTGTAATTACTTCTTTTTTGAAAAAAATCATAACTTTATTGAGATATTAAGTTTGATTTTTTAAATATTGAAGAAGCGATATATTACAATAACATATTTGATTCTGCTTTGAGTAAAACCACAACAAAGTTAAATCAACTTGGAATTAATAGTGGGTGAACCACAAGCATACGAATGACAAACCTAACGTTTTTCTCTTGTTTTACTTATTGCTTTAGTATTTTCCCATCAACTGTGTGTATAAAAATTGAAGATATCGCTAGATTCTAACCATATTAGTCCGTCGTACAGACCTCTTTTTATCAAATTATTAACATTTCGTGAATAGCTTCATCTCATCAAAACCTACAACTATTTTATTTATGAAAACTCTTAGAATTGGGGCATATTCAATCAGGAGGGTCGGCAAACTTTGTCTATTTAATCAGGATCTAAAAACGCGTATGTAACCATTTCTTTTCCACTTAGATCGTAACATAATTTGATCACACAAAAAAAAAAACCTTCTAAAATTTTGGCAGTTAGGCTTATATAACCTCCTTGGTGGTGTAAGTAATGCCAAACGGCTCCATATTTTTGAAGGCCACCTTTTTTACTCGTGAGCTCAAATTATCTTACGATTCAAGTCAAAAACAAATGTTTGTACATCTCCATATTGATAACGCCTCAATGTCGAGAATTTCCGTAGACAAAATTAGCTTACAATGAGATGAAGTTATTTACGAAGTTTCAGACGAGCGTTAATAATTAAAAAAAAAATGGTTTTGGGCCATGGACTATATGAGTTAAAACTATTTTTTTTTATTCGTACCTGTTTGACACGGCCGTACGAATTATTAATAATTAATATACGAGTAGGATTCGCTGAAGTTTTAGAAAATTGAGAAGGTACACTTGATTGTACAGTCAAAGCCGGTTTTAGCCTCCATTTATTAAGAAATAAAACCGATCAATGGAAAGCATAACAAGTGAAAATCACATAAAACTAATGAGATGAAAACATGACACTAATACGGAGGTTTATATGTTTCTTCAGCAACTTTTTCACCATATTTATTAGTCCGTGGTCAGATACCTGTTCATCAAATTATTAACATCCGCCTGAATCTTCGTAACCTACCACTATTTTATTTACGAAAATTCTCGGAATTGGGGCGTTTTCAATGTGGAGGAGGCAAACTTTGTCTATTTAATAAACTAAAAACTCTGTGACCTCAAAAATAACTCAATATTTTTGTAGACCATTTTTTTTTCTCGATTTTGTGATCAAATTATCCAAGTGGAAAGTAACGATCCAAGGGGAAAGTAATGGAGTTTTACGAGTTTTTATTACCTAATTAAATTGACAAAGTTAGCCGATCTCCAGATTGAAAACGCCCCAATTCCAAGAGCTTTCGTGGATAAAATAATTATAGGTAACGAGGAGATGAAGATATTTAAGAAATTTCAGGCGGATGCTAATAATTTGATAAAAAGGGGCCAATAACACGGACTGTATTATAAAGTAAAAAAAATTCTTTCATCTCGATCATGGCCAGTTACTTAAATGGTAGTGAACATATTAGGAATAATAATCTTGAGAAAAATGCTGTAAAATATAATTTGCAAAAACCGAGGTCACTATCAGCCCTGTGCTAAATAATCATACATAATCATCATAAGCTCTTTTGATGTATTAGTTGGACGGAATCCATAGGAGAAAACTCCTAGAGCTGTCGCCTAACATACTGGTGCTAGCTGAGCTGTGAAGAGCTTCAGTGTGTGATCTGGGCTATGCTCACAGAGCGCTAACGAAGGCCCTTTCTGTAGCTGCCCTTTGTGTTCTGGTCTAGGCCTAAGGGCCGATTGGGGTCTTTTATCATTTCATGTTTGTTTCCCAAATATCAATTGTAATGCTTCAATACCCTTTTATTTTTCATAGATAATTATTTTATCAGTTTGTAATTCATTTGTTTAAAAAACATCGGCCAACTAGTGTCAGTATCGCTTCATCATTCCTATTGCTTGCATAATTAAGTATTTATCAAGGTTTATAATTTGTTGGTCGGAAAAGAAACTATACCATCGATACAAATGCTAACTATCGAATATGAAAATATGAAAGATTTTCAATTCTCCATTCTGGCGATTGTAATTGTAATTAAATATTTTAAAGAGCGAATATACAAAATCTTCAAATATTCATAAAAGCACATAGTAGTCCGAGGTAGAGACTCTCCCTTTTTTTATAAAATTATTAACATCCATCTCACGAATACTTATTTGTTTTCCTATTGAATAGTAAGATTATTAGTACACAAATTCGAAAAAAAAAAATGCCCTACAAAATTAAAAAGGCCCAATATTTTTGTAGGTCACTTTTTTTTTTTCGATTTTGTGATCATATTATCTTACGATTCGAGTGGAAAGCAAATGGGTATTCATGAGTTTTTAGTACATAATTAAACAGACTACGTTTGCCTATTTGCAGATTGAAAATGGCCCAATTCCGAGACTTTTCGTAAATAAAATATTTGTAGGTTACGATAAGATGAAGATATTCACGAAGTTTTAGGCGGATGTTAATAATTTGATAAAAAGCGATCCGTACCACGGACTATATATTGAATAAATAAGTTAGTGATATAAAATTAATTCGGAAGATAAATTAATGATTATTTCGTCTCGTCTGTGAACTAAATGCTTTTTATGTATCTGTAAAGGTTTTGTCGTATATTGTCCGCTCCACCACCTTTTGGTATTCTGTCATTAATATACCTTTCATCTATGTATATATTTGGTATGTTCTAGCTGTTAATGTTTTAATATAAAAGGTCAATACTTTTTATTTACATACTTTTGATATCTTTTTTTCTGGGGGTTTTTCTTTTTCTTTTTATATATGCATTTTTTTCCAGTGCAATTATAAATATAGTTGAGAAGATTTTATTTTATTTTTAGTTGTTTACATACTATGATTTAGGTTGAGGAGTAGATCGGGGGGAAGGAGGGAGGTGCGGTATTTAATTTAATTTAAATTTTATAAATTAAAATTTAAATTAAATAATATTATTTCTATAATTTAGAATTTATTATGATTTAAGTTGTATATATTGTTTGAACCTTTATTAAGTTAGTTTTTGGCCATATATGAATTTTTTTCTTTTGCAACTGTTCATTATTGTTATTATAAGAGGACATCGTTCCAGAATATAATTTATTTTCTATTTATATATAATTAAGTTTCTAAGTAAAATTATTATTTTTTTATCTAAAACACTTAATACAGTAATTTATAATAACAATGTATATTAATGTATAGATTATTCATGTTTCTTTGAGCTTCAAGAATGTACAGTATTTATTGCAATAATTAAATGGGTTTATACAAAGAGATATGTAATTTTCACAACATAATACGGCTCCATGTATTGTTCCTCTGGTATAAACGTTCTTTGTCGTGTCCTACCGGAAGGGACATAATGCACACAGGGCCGTTGTATTTCATTTCACCGGAATGGGGAGCACATGCACATGGGCACATGCCTCATTCATGACTTCATTACGTTTTTTTCTTCTCAAATCCAATTTTTCAAAGCATTCTCTCTTCAGTGATGGCTTAATACTAAGCTTGACGATTAGAGGGGCTTTTATTGTGCTATTTGACAATTATTTCGGTGGTCAAAGCCATCTACACGATTTGGAGTGTTGTTTTTATTCAATTTCATTCCTTTACCCTAAAAATTTTTGTTAAAACCAAACAAAAGAAAAAGCAAAAAAAAAAAAAAAAAACAACTGGAATATACAGAATGTTATAGAATATAGAAAGAGATTAAAGTAAACCTCAAAGTACTCAAAAAAGTTCATAGAACATGGTGATTATTTTCATAAAAACGTAAATATTACGAAAATTTAGTTGGTCACTTATGGATCAATGCCTATAATAGAGATCTGGGTAAAAACACAGTTTCATATTCACTTCTGATTATAAATGCCTGAAATATCATTGTTTCTTACATTTTTTTTATAATTTAAAAGTGTATTTATGCAATTATGTTTATTATAATACATTCCAGGTCATCAAAAAAAAAATCTTTGGAACGATTTATTGAAGTAATTTTTCCTGAAAATAAAGGTACGTTTAGCTGGCAGAAAATAAAATTACATCATTTGTTGTGAAAACTTGAGATGAATCTCAACTTACTTCGTAATAAACCTTAAACTTAATCAATATGTACTTGGGCATGTTAAACACAGAATTTCTTCTAAATGTGGATTATTAGTCCGTGGTACAGACCCCTTTTTATGGAATCATTAACATCCGCCTGAAACTTTGTGAAAAGCTTCATCTCATCGTAACCTACAAACGTTTTATTCACGTAAACTCTTGTAATTGGGGCGTTTTCAATATGGAGATCGGAAAACTTTGTCTATTTAATTAAGTAATAAAAACTCGTAAATACTCATTTGCTTTATACCTGAATCGTAAGATAATGTGATCCCGAAATCGTGTAAAAAGGTGGTCTACAAAAGTATTGGACCGTTTGGCGTGACCTACACCCTAACATTTCAAAATAACGAGTTTTGAGTTCTACCAAGGGGTAGTTTTTCTTCATGTTGTACATGTCATGTTACCAATTTCACATTTACTTATTGTATTTTCTATGTAATATTGTAAATTTCATTAAAATAATAATAATAAAAAAAATAACGAGTTTATATAGGCGGAACGACCCAATATTTTTGTAAGTCACCTTTTTTCTCGATTATGTTATCAAATTATCTTAAGATCCAAATGGAAAGGAAATGGGTATTTACGAGTTTTTAGTATATAATTAAATTGACAAAGTTAGCCGATCTCTAGATTTCTAAGAGTTTTCGTAAATAAAATAGTTGTAGGTTACGATGAGATGATACCATTCACGAAGTTTCAGGCGGATGTTAATAATTCGATAAAAAGGAATCTGTACCACGGACTATATTTGTATTATAGTTGTAGGGTCATTAAAAAGAAGTCGCGAATAATCCATGAGTTTACAAAAAAAAAAAAACAGAACTTAGCTTCTTTAAATGTTTTCATGAATGCCAAACTCTGCTTTCATTTGAAGTAAATTTTATTTTGTTCACCGTGAAGGAATTATTAATTTCTTAAATTAACTTTGTATTTAATTATTGCTTACCATTCAATAAAAAATATTACAATTAAAATAACACAAAACTAAAATTTCCATTTTTTTTTTTTTAAATTGGACTATGAGCTAATATGAGATGTTTTGTAGTTCTTGACGTCTATTATCACCTATTTACACATCGGGTTATCACAATGCCTGATTGTGCGATATTGAATAATCTTAAATAACTAAGAATTTTGACAATTTTTTTTCCTGTGAAATTAGTAAATTGTATTCTTGTTGAAACTGTTTTTGATATATAAAAGGGTTTGTGTCATTTAAGTTTATTTTTTTTTTTTAATCGATAAATAATGTCAAAACTTACAAAAACATTCTTTATAGTTTAGTTCCATCAAAAATGTACTGAATGACTTATTCCATTAAACCGATGATAAAGTGTAATATGCGTCAATAGGAGCCCTAGTTTAAAATATCTGATGCCATTTTTTTATTGAAAAAAAATACATAAATATCATAATGCACTTCATTAATCTAATCCTACTTTATAAACTTTATGTATTTCAGTTCTATCTTTTTAGGGAACAGGAAAATTTTGACTAATTGCATACAATATAAATTAACTCTTCGGATTAAACATGTTTTGCATATTGATTTAATCAAGTCGGGCTGTGTATTAATGAATTTACATAATAATTAATACTATCAGCAATCAATATTGTTGTTGCTACTGATTTTAATTGCTATTATTAAAACAAATGAATCCAGAAGCGGGTTTCATGTTCATGGGGGTTCAAAATTTTTGAGTGTGATTCATTTTGACGGGATTTTGAATTTTTATAGCGAAAACTTTCGAACCAGGGAACAAGTGGAAAACGTTAGTCAGACCACAGCTAGTGTAATTATATATAATTTGTAAAAAAAACATAAAGATAGAAAGTAGACATAAGATGATTATGTTATAAATGGAAAAATCTAAACCTGTTCAACTATTCACCTGTGTTGAGATTCCTGTTTGATATTCCTGGCTTTGTAGTTTGGATTTTTTCATTATTAATATAGATTAATATTAGACTTTTTTTCCACGAACCAGCCAGTAATGACCACGCGAATATCATATCCGTTTTCTCTTCCCTCCCTTAACCTTCCTCTTACTCCAATACTGTCTCATCCTCCTGGACTGTTACTCTTAGTCTTCCTTAGTCCATTTTCTTTCTCGTCTCTCCCTCCCACCTACAAGAAGGCTAACCCCTTTCAGTTTTTCCTTAAAAAGCTCTCTATCCGAGGAACCTTTATCCGTAATTTTTAGCGTGTTTAGTTCCTCTCTTATTCGTTTTACATATAACTATTCTCCCCATACTATGTAGATAGATTTTTGGCAGTAAGTTAATATAATGTTTATTAAATATGCTTACACATTTTTTCGTGCTTTAAATATTGATTTGCACCTGTCGACCTTTTTTTTTAAATTTTGATTATGTAGTTAACACAACAATTCTCACAAAACATCAAGATCATACACAGGTCTCACTAACTTTACAATATCATTTACTTAAATTACAATCTAGGTTCGAACTGTGGAAAAATTGGAATTAATCATGATAAATCCTAACATCTAACATTTAATCTTCGAAAAAACACCTGCCCTTCAGTTTTTATTGTTAACAACCAAATTCGCCAAACGGAAACGATAGATCATGGACTTACCTTCTTTAGAAACCCCCTATATTTTTATAGCTGCAAACTTTGTCAAAAATTTTCTTGTTCAGTCTTTCACTATTCACCCTGACCATGTGCCCGTAGAACCTCAGTCTTCTGGTCCTGACGACTGTTTCCAAATCTTCCAATTTTTTTTATATTTCTTTATTGGATTTTAGCCTGTGTTTCTCTTGCGTTACTTTGGGTCCGTGAATCCTCCTCAGAATCTTCCTCTCAATCTTCAGGATTTTCTCTAGGCTCTGAAGGCTGACTGTTTCCATACCATATAATATTACAGGTCTTGCTACTGTACAGTAATGCCTTATTTTTGCTTTTGAGGACAAGTTTTTTTTGTTGTAAATATTCCTGTTGGTGAAGTTCAGTCTTTCCAGTTTGGTTGTTCTTCCTTTGATACCTTATCCGTTCCGTTACTACATATTATCTCCCCTAGGTATTTAAACTTTTTGGTCACTTTTATTTTCTCATATTTTATGTCCAATATGTTCTTTTAATATTACATTATTAATTAATTGAGTGTATATTTGGCAGTTTTAAAAAAGAAAATTAGGCACATATGTACGCTCGTTGTAGGAGGCAATATGGCAGACAAGCTAACTAATTTTGACCTGGTTACTCCATAGTGCACTATCCGCTACAGACACAATCCATCACCTGTGCTAATGATGAGAGCTGACGTCATTGAAATATGTCGTGCAAAGGGACATGGTATCCTCTAGCAAATCTATCTTCGGAATTATTCAGTAATTTCATAAAAATATTTACCGACAGAATTGGCAGTTGCTAGTAGATATTTTTTAAATTTAATTTTTATTATTTTTTTATGAATTAGTCTAATTCTATTTTCCAGACAAACCTCGGATACAATTACTATCCTTGTATCATACAAATTAATGAAGTTAGACTTTTGAAATATTTCAAATTTGATGCCTGAAGAATTTCCTTAGGGAAAATTCCCTTTAAGATTGGCGCTGTCCTTTTTGATAAAACAGCTGTTTAATAACTTTTCCTAAATGCTTCACAGTTTGCTACAACTGCTGCTGTAACGATCAGATAAAAAGTTGCCGATGCGGCAAATTGCTATTTCTGAAACAACTCTAGAGAGTTTTGTAAAAGCTCAAAGATTTTATCTGAGGGAGTTATTAGAGCTGGGGAGGGGGAGGGGGAACGATTGCCTGCTTCTCACGCCCCACCATAATTACGGTTTAAGCTATAAAAGTTCTTTTTGTATTTGTTCATATTCCAACTTTAATTTGTGAAATGCAGGCTATGGAATGGCCTCACTGCCCGGCGTAACATTTCTCAAGATAACTGCCTCAGAGAATTATCGGCCCTTTTAACAAGGTTTCCTTTATCTGTATATTTTATCTTTTGATATCATTGACACTTTGTTTTTATTCTTATAGTAAGTTGGTTTTGAAAATTGTCTGGAATGATATATTGATATGTATGAATAGAGATGCTGTCTTTTTATGAGTCTACTACTACCCAACCATGCATTTAAAATATTTATTATAAATTGGTGGTGGCTATGCCGATGACACATGTATTCTATCTGTTAACAACGATCCATCAATTGCATACCAAACCCTTCCATCACACATTACAAGTCTTGAAAAATGGTGTCGAAACTGGAGGATTAAAATAAATTCCAATAAATCCA